TCCATCCATCAAGTTAGAGGGGTGACTGCATTCAATTTCGATTTTTTCCAATTCATTTTTCACCGGTAGGTTCACCTGCTCTTATCTATGGAATTTTAGGGTACATCACTTCTGGATTGGAGGTGCTTAGAACTCGTCTGTCATGCATTGCTCACTCGGTTGACGACCACTACCAAATTGACTTCGCAGTTTAGGACCGACAGTTCGAATTCAACTTTCAGTAGAGAGGACTTGGGTGCTAAAGACGGGAGAGTGGGGTAGCAGGCTGGATTTCCGTTTCCGCTTAGTATTTCACGATGATTCATTCGTCTATGCGATACATTTTCGATGTCAGCTACTGCTTTCTGCTCACACTGCATTTCTAAGATTGTTATAGCTTCCAAGAAGTTTTTTATGGCCAATAATCAGTCGGTCCTCACCAAGTGATCGCTGATAAAGCTGGCTGGCGAGCCGAAGCACCCTAACTACTCTTTACCATCACATAACGCGAACGCCCGAAGTATTCATTCCGCAAACTCATGGTTCATAAAATTCTAAAGGATAGAGTCTTGGGTTGTTAGTCCATCATCCTAGACGACTCTGGTGCCAATAAACCAACCTCGGAGGAATAGATGGCTTGGTTGACCTGGGCGGGTATCGATCCGAGATGCGAAGCCGTGGCCATGCGTGTGTGAAGTGCACCACTTGCCACTACACCACCTCCGCCCAACATATCTCATGCGTAGCAGTATAGCGGCCATCGGAGGTAGTGCAGTCTGCGCAGTGTGAACTGTGAAAGCTTCCTCGATTGAGCGTGAGCAACAAACAGAACCGATCGGGGTTGCACTTGGTTTTTCTGCTTTCAGTACCGGTTTTAGATGAAACTTGCGTCCTGTCATAGTCTTTTCATGGAAACTTTGTAATCTTCACGTTTGATAGGAAAAAGGTAGGTCAGCTATGACCGGATCTTGAGTTTCACCAGTGAAGTAGACAATAATGAGGCCACATTGAGGACCAATATATCATCCCACTTGATTACAGACCAACTGGATCTTCCCTCTATGAATCATTCCATGTCGGCTGTTTCAAATGTTTCACTGAAATTCGTGCATGGTGCATCAGACAGTCACATTGTCCCTCTTGTTCTAAACTAAGTCTTGTGTATGGCTAACATTTATTGACCACATACCGTTTTCAGGTCTTTCCCGGCCAGAGGATACAGGTCCCTTTCTCTTCTCGGGACGACGTCTTTGAAAATGATGCTCCTATTACCTCAACCCCTCGTCACGGCAAGCCAATAGCAGGTGTGGAAAGTGCTGGTAAGTCACTGTCGCCGTTCTTTAGGGCTTGCCTTTATTGATACGTGGTCATGATTGATGCGCGTTTGAAACTGTTTTGTATGCAACGCTTAAAAAAGTCTTATCAGTATTCAATTCGATTTCGGAATAAAAATTGCTTTATCAGCCGATGGAATACGTAAAGGACCAGGCGGTGCTGTTCCAGCACAGCAACATCGTGGCGGTAGTCTGATGAAAACCCAAAGTGCTCCGTTACCCGCTCCTGACGAAGCTGATTCCGACTGTCTTCAGCGGTTTCTGAAAATCAAGGTATGTTGAATTTATTATTGCGTCTTCACTGACAGTTTGTTCCCCTTTCTCATCATTGCGTCTTTTTTAATTTTCAATAAAGAATCTTATTGGCCCAAGTTGTTGGGCAAAGGAATGCAAATGCGGAAATCTGTAGACAGCTTTCAGGTGAAGCAAGTGACTGAATCTGATGGTACTGTGTCAGGTACTCTTCTCGTCACTCCTAATTGCCTGATGTTCGATCCGGATGTTAATCATCCGTTAGTCATAGAGAATGGACAGGATTTGTACGGAATGGTAGCGAAGTGAGTGTTAAAACTGATAGCGCGGCTCAGGGTTTTCGATGGGTTCTGAATTTGAACTCTCTAGTTTTATTTGATTGGTGCTCCCTGTGAGATCCAAAATTTGCGTTCGTATTGGAAATGGCGTATGGGCTGAGAGTTGGCTGGTATTTCGTCGATATTTATTCATTATACAAATTTTNCTGTAGACAGTCTTTCAGGTGAAGCAAGTGACTGAATCTGATGGTACTGTGTCAGGTACTCTTCTCGTCACGCCTAATTGCCTGATGTTCGATCCGGATGTTAATCATCCGTTAGTCATAGAGAATGGACAGGATTTGTACGGAATGGTAGCGAAGTGAGTGTTAAAACTGATAACGCGGCTTAGTGATATTGTTTTCGATGGGTTCTGAATTTGAACTCTCTAGTTTCATTTGATTGGTGCTCCCTGTGAGATCCAAAATTTGCATTCGTATTGGAAATGGCGTATGGGCTTAGAGTTGGCTGGTATTTCGTCGATATTTATTCATTATACAAATTTTCCCCTTAAGCATGGACGAAATCGTCTCCGTTTCCGTTTACAAGGAAATCAGCGGTTTGACTGGTGACAAAGAGGAGAAAAAGAAAGATATTTTTGATCCAAACCATGTGAGAACACCAGCTACGTCCGTTTCTCAACAGGTTGGTGACTTTCACATTTATGTCATTTCATGTATTTTCAATTGACGTGATTGAGCACGAATAATTACTACTACTCTTGTGAATGGACTTTTTTTAAGCGATAGGTTATCACCAGCTAATTATCGCTTTTGCCGGAAAGGAGGTTATTTTCGATGAAGAGATTGGTGCACCTATGCCCCTAAGAATGTGCTTGCGATTATTCTTTTGCTAATCGTCGCTTAAGCATGAAAGTGGGGATATGCCTACTTCTACATTGTCTCATGGGTTCCCATTTTAGGCTTTATTCTTTCGAAACCACTTGTTTTGTAATCGATTGATAAGCTATATCTTAAATCATACTTTTCGTTTTTCTTTTATCTACTTTGGCTTGTTGGCTCTCAGGTGAGCTTTTAAATTGTATTCAGGACAATGGCGCCGGTGACATAGGTCTACCATCGTCTGGTAGTGATCCGCCACAAGTTTTCGATGATACTGTTGAGGAGGAATCGGGCATGTTTTTCTTGTGATTTCTCGTGTTTTTTCTGACTGCACTTCTTTAATGTTAAAATGGTAAGGAGGTACAATCGAATAAGGTCATTACAGTGAAGTTTTCCTTGTTCCAACGAAAGGATTCAGATGGAAGTGCTACAAGCGCAAAAGCAGACGAAGGAAATGACCAGGCCTGTTTAAATTTCCTAGTTACCTTTACAACGGCTAAGCTTTTTTAATGGCAGACGAGCTTTCACTCTATATTGGGCTTGTATTTTTGTTCACCACAGAGTCATGAGCCGCTTTTTCAAAGATGTTTTAACATGATTTCCTGTTAATGACCTTCTCATGCTCAGTATATCGTTCCATTTCTACGCTAATCTCCCAACCTTCTCAACCTAAAAATCTTGATAGACCAGCTAGCCCTCTATAGGCATTTTGCATTATGGTAACTACTTCTAAACTAGTTGCTTCAGACGTCAACGAAAGGTGGAAGTGAAATTTTCTTGCCATGTATCAACGAAGAATCACATAATGCCAAATCACCCGATGAGGATCGTCGAACGCGAACTGTTAGCGACATGGTAACTGCAGAAGGTTAGCTCAGTACTTAACTATTGGATTTGGTATGGCTGAACATGTTTTGTGATAATATGATTTACTTCCCATTTTGGGGTACTCGTATTTGAGTGCTTGGCTGGAGACTTCTTGAAGTGCTGTTGGATGTCCGGGTTCGGAAGTTAACTTACTAGCATCAAACTATCTAAGATTAACCCATGCCAACTGAATAGTAGATTTTCCGAACATGCCAAATTCCATTTAAACAGTATCTCCTTGGCCTTTTCTGAAGAAATTCGGAGAATTTTTTTACATTGACATGACATAAGTCAGTGTAGCAATGTAGGAGAGTCATTCTGTAAAAATCAACGTCATTCTTTTAAGAGTACGCTCAAGTACATACGCGCAAGCGGTCGTCAACGTCGTCGTCATCACAAGATGTAACAGACCGTCCACGATCCTACTCGGAACTGGACGCAAGTCAACCTCCAGGATCCATTTCGCGTTTTTCGCCGAATGCGGCGCGACGCTCGTTTGGTAAACTTGGACGGACTTTAAGGTTACTTTTTGACATCTCTCTCGATCATTTATCAAAATGAAGTGAGTATGAGCCTAGCCCTACGAATTGAGCAGAAGAAGAAAACCGTTTACGCAGCTGCTTACAAAGCAGGTAAGTATAAGGTGGAAACTGCTGAAGTATAGAAACTCAAATAAATATGTAACTCTGAAGTAGTGCGGATTTATTGACTTTCATACTCCATCAGGGTGATGGGAATGTCAAATTTCAAGTCCAAACTGTCGCATGTTGCTTTTATGATCGCGTGACAGTTTTGTTTTCGTGATGAGCCCGATAATTGGAATGACAAAATGGCGACAGACACATGGATAATCAATACGTAGTAGATAATTATAGCTGTCTGCAACGCATTATTGCCCCAATGAGAGGGTGGAAGTTTCTGCACGACGAACCTGTCATCTTGGGCTATATCTGAAGGAATTAGGAGACCTACTTCGTTCTGGCCTTAGAAGGGGATTGCCGCTGACTAGTTGAGGTTTCCACTAACGATAAGAGTGGCGTTCCCACGTTTAATAGCGTTGGATCGCGGCAAGGACGACAGGGGACCGGGTGATACAAATAATGCTCAAGCCTATTTGCTACAACAGCAGCGTGTTATACTGCTGCTCCATCATTTTCCACAATTTTTGAGTGGCAAGGTCTGGTTAGTATATTTTCTTGTGATTTGAGAATTATCCTCTTTCAAGTGGAGCCAGTCCCTAATTAGCCAGCAATGATTGTGGAGAACTATTCCCTCGAAATCGAGAAGGTTATGTTTTTGCGAGCTGAACATAACTGTTGATTGCTTAATCAGCTCGCTCAGAAGACGATTGTCTATTAGTGGCTAAATTTATTACGGATAGAGAGCAGAGTCCACTTTAGGGAATACATACATCAAACTTGCCGGTAGATAGATTTATTCTCATGGCCTGTACTTAGATATGCTGTGCACACGACTAATCTTAACCCGAGAAACCCTCCAGTCTCCACAAGTTATTCAAGCAACGATATCCGTCTAGGCCAACTAAGCCGACCATCTCTCCGGGGTCGGTGAATTGGTACCAGACTCGTCTGGGAGGATAAAAGCACTGACTTGTACATCGGCTGGCCACCGCAAGTCCTTGTATGGGCCACATACGCGTGCATTACGCCACTACGATTGGCTGCTTTCATACTCCGCCGGCCGGCGGGCCGGCGTGCCAGGCGAGGTGGTGCTAGGAAGGGGGAGGGAGGCAGACAGTCGAAAAACACCTTTCGAAGGGCTGAAAACAAAAACCACAAGATCAAAAACCGTTTGCACTTGCCCTTTGAAGGGTGTTTGTTCGACTGTCTGCCTCCCTCCCCCCTCCTAGCATTACCTCGCCCAGCACGCCGGCCCGCCAGCTGGCCGGCAGCGGATTATGAAAGCAGCCATTCTGAATGGAAGTTCAGTGCGGGGGCGCATCCCTCAGACGGAATTGATTGACGCAAAAATTTTATCCGTTATCCTTTTACTCAAACAACTTTAACCTTCAAAATAGTGAATTATAGTAACCAGCCCCAGAACGGTACACCGTCCCCGACCATTCATCCTTTAGTAAGTTGCTCAATTTAGGTGAAACACTATAGGGATAAAAAAGCTTGCAGGACAGGAACTTTGTATAAAATTTTGAGCATTCCTGTCGCTAGTGCTAATAAGAGACAACAACTCGATAAAATAGTTAATTCATACATATTTCTGGTCCGTCGATACTTGAGTAGCTGCTGCATTAGTGTTACGACAGCAAGATTTGACCAAAAAAGAGCAGGAGGGAGAGCTTCGAGTTCAAAGGGAAGACGAAGCAAACAACATTGAGAATGCAAAGTGTGAAGATTGGTGTTTCAGATCATTTACTTTTATGGTAGTGACAGTAAATTGATGTTGGCATGTCCATAGTAATAGCACGATGCTCATTATGAGCAAAGGAATATTGAAGACAGATTCTATTTTGGCTGTCCCTAATAGATCTAATAATCCAGTTCTTTGTGATAGGTATTTCTCGTCCCTTACAAAGAATGAATAATAGCGGAGTAAGACGAAATTGTGCGCCCACCAAATCAATTTCAACGCAAACTTTTTCGAACGCTATAAATTAGTCGGCTTCTATGACTGCAATCCCAGGGAACCTTGTTCCACGCGTAAATGGAATGAGTGAGTACTCGCTGTACTTTTTCAGGCATACTGGTCTCCTCCTGACAAGGGAATGTAAGTGGGAATTGGGCAGCACTCGCATTTTGTAAAACCGAGTATTCTCCATGGGTTGCTGCGGAATAGTTTACTAACAATAAGATAGAAGCTTGGTCGTTCTAAGGAGGAACTGAAGTTTCCATTGGAAAAATCGCCTAAAACCAATGTTCAAATTAGGACACTACTGAACTAGGATCACTCAATGCAAGAGCTCGATTTTTTTTTATGAAACTGAGAGAATATCACTTCTCAAAGATGGTCTCTGTATAGTGGTCAAAGAACATTACTAATTTCATCAGAGATCCTTTTATAATAAACTGCATGAGTTCCATAAATATATCAATATTTTGTTGTAAGAAGGCCTTCTGTGGAAATGGTTCAGTTAGGTGGAATGCAAACAACATTCCATCCAATAGAGTTCTCGCCCTTGTTAGAAATTTTTACCTGAGAGCAACAGAATAAAGGGTTAGGTCTTCAAGCGTTGGTGATAGCGTGCAAATTAAAAGTACAGTTCACGAGAAAATGGTTTCTGGGATTTCTCCTGAGGATAGACCTGTGACATCCAAGGATAGTACAAGGGACCTTGTTGCGTCGCAAAGCGGCCTAAGTAGGGCGTTATAAGGGCCTCTAAAATAGTTCAGCAGACGTACACTCACGGAGCGGACGGGTTCTCAAGGCGTAGAGGTTGTAGAGGTTGCACTATTCGCACCAGGACGTAAACGTTGCACACAGGCAGCTTACTGTAGCCACCTGTGAGCAATGACTCGTCTAGAACAGATACTGTTTCTTGCGCGGTTGTGCTTGCGATGTGACATATTCAGTGGAATTGATTAGCTAGCCGAAATACAAGTAATGCTTTAATTTTTCAAGGCCAGGCTGGTGGCTTGATTGGTCCAAGCAGTCACTCGTCTTGGGTTCGATCCCTGACCATGTGTGTGATAGTCCACAATGATTAGGGGGAACTTGGCTCTTCAGTCCACGGAAGTATTAAAGAACTTCTTGCAGCTAAGTCTGAGAGCAGAGAGGCTCCCATCCGTATTTAGGAATCCTTTTGAATGGTCAAGATCCGTCGAGATCTACAGTTGCCTTGATTATTTCGGACATGAACTAATTTCTAATTTGTTTGGATATGGAAGAAATCTTTGATGTACGTGACTGGTAACAACCTATAATATTTCAGTGCTCGCGCCAAATCAATTCATGGTACTGTTGCTCAAGGAACAAAACAAGTTGCTCACGNATGTGACATATTCAGTGGAATTGAGGAGCTAGCCGAAATACAAGTAATGCTTTAATCTTTCAAGGGCAGGCTGGTGGCTTGTTTGGTACAAGCAGTCGCTCGTCTTGGGTTCAATCCCTGACCATGTGTGTGATAGTCCACAATGATTAGGGGGAACTTGGCTCTTCAGTTAACGGAAGTGTTAAAAAACTTCTTGCAGCTAAGCTTGAGAGCAGAGAGTCTCCCATCCCTATTTAGGAATCCTTTTGAATGGTCAAGATCCGTCGAGATCTGCAGTTGCCTTGATTATTTCGGACATGAACTAATTTCTAATTTGCACATCCTTGGATATGGAAGAAATCTTTAATGTACGTGACTGGTAACAACTTATAATATTTCAGTGCTCGCGCCAAATCAATTCATGGTACTGTTGCTCAAGGAACAAAACAAGTTGCTCACGGAGTTGTGACGCACACCAAAAGTGCTGCAGGTATGACTACATTTTAAAGTAGTGTTGTTTCGGACAAGTGCATTAGCTGCTTTCATAGTCCGCGAGCGAGCGCGCGAGCCGGCCGGGGGACTACAAGGAGCAAGCACGCCCCAGTCGCTCGCTCGCGCGCTGAGGGGCCGGACGGCGGGCTATGAAAGCGGCGAATGGGTTCATGGTGACTAAGTAGCCCTATCAAATAGGTGTAGCACATTAATAGAATGAATGAAAGGTGGAAATCATTGTTTTAAAGTTCGCATTTGATTTTTAGAGGGGTGGGAACGGTTTTGTACTATTGGCACTGAATACTGATGGGTTAAACTGGAAGAATTGAAAGGTTTTGAGCGAAAGCGGCAGAGTGAAAGAGAAGTAAGCCTGTTCATCCATACATTCAATTGCTATTGACAGATTTGTAACTAATAATGCAAAAGAATTTCGGTTTCCCTGTCATTTCTTTACGAAGTTTTGAAGGGGAAAGAAGCGGTGAGACATCCTTCGGGGAATGCAAAAGTTATTCTGCCTATGGTGACCGCTCGATCCCTTCCACTTACAGTTAGCTTGCCCGTGACTATGTTGAGCTAGGTATAATGTGTACAATGCCAACAATATATTTTCCAGACTCTTTACAAACAGGATTGGAAACGGGTGTAAAAGCTGTTGGCGAAGCGGCCAATGCTGCTGCCAACCAGGCAAAGGTACCTATAATTTTCCTTTCAGAGTTTTCTTTTCGTTAATTTCATTCCATTCAAAAGTAGTCAGGATGTTTAATGAGATAAAATGGTCACTGCTAGTGTTCTGAAACGTCAAACAAATGACGATACTGGAGAGTTTTTTTTTCAGCAAGTATATTAAACGAAGTTAAGGCTGCTGCTGACGTCGTGGCGGCCGTTCCAGGACGAGTAGTGGACATGGGAACAAGTCTAGTATCAGACGGGATCAATGGAGTGCAGGAGATATTCAATACAGACGTAGAGGTGAATATTCTGCTTTTTTTCGATTATACTTTTCAGGAAGCAGGTTAGTCCTGTGGTTTTCGATTGATCTGGCCGGTTATTTGCCGTTTGTGCTCCTGTACAGAGCTAGTATAAGCGAGTAGATTTTTTATACTCGAGATTTTTTTGAAAGAATCTTTTTAACTTTTTGAAAAAAATTTTCAAGCAATGGGAAAAGGCCCGCAAAAGGGCTTTGAAACGGCGCTGTACGAGATATCCGGATTATTTCTGCTTCGTAACGT